ATCAATGACGATACAGAGAAGCAGTCGATCAGACAAGACCGAATTGTGCCGTTAAACAAAACTTTGCTCGGTAAATAAATTAAATAAATATACTGTTGAGTAAATAAACGGGGCGTCTATTCAAATATGAGCATCCACTAAAATAAACTTTAAAGTGGAAAAAATCTGTTGGTTTAATAAAAATCCATTACTTTTAGAAATATATACTTAAGATAACATCAAACAGCTATATATATATATATATATATATATATATATATATATATATATATATATATATATATATATATATATATATATTAGGGCATCTTAGGGCATCTTGATGAGGTGTAATAGTTAGCAAGTTTGTCGCGCTTAAACCGTTACGACTGAATAGTGAGTTCGGTCATCACTAGGTGCCCCATGCTTTTGGTCTTGTGCCACATCTAAGCTACACTTCGAAAAAATATATATATATAATATATATATATATATATATATATATATATATATATATATATATATATATAAAGAGAAAGTATAGTATAATATATAATCCGGTGTTCTTATTGATATTTTTTATTTTTACAAAAAAAGTGCTCAATGTAAATTTACAGAGCATAAATGTTATAAATTGACTGATTTAAAATATGGTCCCTTCACTACACAGGAATTACGATGTTCCAAAAACCGAATCTAAAACTTCAAATTTAAATATATAATTAAATTAAAAGCAATAGTTCTGTTTCAAGCGAAGATGAAACAGAACTAATGCTAATTTAATTATATAATTAAGTTTGAAGTTTTTAACTTGGTTTTTGGCTATGGTAATTCCTGTGTATTTTAAAAACCATGTTTTAAAATCAGTTAATTATAATGTATATATATATATATATATATATATATATATATATATATATATATATATATATATATACACACAAATAGATACATATTATTCTTACCGGTAGCACGACTCGGAGTTTCATGCATAACGCAGTCTTCAGGTGCGGTAGAATCTGTCGATACATAATTTAATGGGTAATAAAAATGTCTGATTAACGCAATGCTGGCGTTAAAATTCCAAATCAGTACGCATGCCTCAGCAGAATCAAACGCACCTATAGCATTGTTAAATTCTGTGTTGTTCAACCATTTAGTCCATATACAATATATATTATATATATATATATATATATATATATATATATATATATATATATATATATGTATACAATGGACTCTCCTTAATTGATTCAGTTATGAAATTTTGTGCGATAATCTTAAGTGTTACTTAGAACCGCTAGTGATTTATAAAGGAGGACGCATATGGAGCAAGAGTGAGGATTGTGGGATGAGATCACTGTTAGATTGGTTGACCTTTTAGAGCTTGTTCTCATTTCTTGAAGATGATTCAGACAAGCAGACTGAAAACAGCTGAGTCCATTAAAACACGTTGATGTCCATTCTACCCGCTCCAAGTCTAAGCGCTCAAGGGTGTTATGTGGTATATTGACATCTGACGAGTTAAATACACACACACACACACACACACACACGCGCGCGCACACACACATACATACATGCATATATATATATATGTATATATATATATATATGTATATATATATACTTTAGGCCAAAAGTTTTGGTGCCACCTCTTGGATTTAATAATTAGAAAATTCCATACCTACTTTGCTTTAATTAAGTCATACGAAGCTAGAATGCTGAAACTATTTAATCAATTAGTGCACCGCCTCTAATCTTTTAGATAGCGTTGGTTACCTAAAATCAGCCAGCCGTAAGATATCTATCAGCTAGCAAATTAAATTATGCGAAAAAGCGCTAAAACTTTAAGAAATGGATTGCTATTATCGAATCTTTATCTATAAAAGGCACGATGTGTGTGTGTGTGTGTGTGTATGTGTGTGTGTGTGTGTGTGTAACGAATGCACCACCGCAATTTTCAGCGGATTTGCACCAAAATTTACATGCACATTCTCCAAGTTAGCGGGAAGGCGAAGACCGACTTTGCATTTCCCAACTCCCATCGATAGTGGAAATAATCGATTTTTTCATGCTTCTACGTCAGTTTTCATGTAGTTTGCGGCCATTTTGTACTGGCCAGAGTGAGAGCCTATGGCTGGCTTCCACGAATAGGCAGGAAGATTCTATTGGCCAGCGTGAGAGCCAACAGCTGACTGACATGAATGTTAACTAGTATGCTAGCATGCAAAAAAAATCGATAGCTGCATTCGTCACAAGTGGGAAAAATTTAAATCTGCATGGCACTTTACTCCAATTAGCTCATTCGCTTGCTTAAACTCAACGTTGATTCTGATTCTGCAGAACTGGGTTGGGTGTGAAAAAATATTTGTTGTTAACATTATTTTTTCATTCGGTTTTTCCAGTTACGAGTCCTTTTTTTAAAGCTGATCATTTTGTGTTCATTTTGTTTAGTTCTTTTTTTTGTAACAGATTTAATGTTTAGTATAGAGCTTAGAAAGATTTCGCAGTGTGAGAAGTAAGGCATGTAGCAACATCAGCACGGCAAAGGGCACTCCTTTAAAAGGCAAGGAAGGGCAAAAATATTTTTAAGTCAAGTGATAGCGATTGCTGTATGAGTCGTACGATTTTTGAATCAAGCACAGGCAACGCCGGGACATGCTGCTAGTATATATATATATATATATATATATATATATATATATATATATATATATATATATATATATATATATATATATATATATCATACACTTCAGGAAGGAATGTCCTCTCGCCGTAAGTTAGACAGTAAATTAGTTTTGGAAAAGGCACGGAACCTTCAATTCTTGGACGATTCTTTTAAATCCAGAGGCTACCCCGACAAGGAAAAAAAAAAAAAAAAAAAAAATGGTTTACAGGGTAGGTCTGTGAATTCTGTTATCTTCATCAGTGAAAAATGCCGTTCCCAAGCAATAAGAAAGTTTTTTTTTCTTCCGTCTTGATCCTTGCAAATGCCATCTGGCCAAGTGCTGATGAAGGCTTAAAGATATTTTTAGAAGCTGATAAAAGTTTACAAAATACATTTTTAACATCTCCCTGCCTTTCTCCAGAAAAACGATGTTTGATTTAAGTTGCGTTCAATGAAAACGAAAATAGAACTGTCTATAAAAGGCTATGATCGCTGACAGCGAAATCTCAACGATTTCATAAAATAGATGAAATGGGCGGCGGACTAGAGACCTCCACCCCCAATACCTCTAATACCCAACAACCTAACTTTTTTTTTTTATCGCCTCTTTATTATACAGTGTAATGCACGGCATGTCTTTCAGTGACCCTAGCTCTTCTAAAAGTTTATGTGGTCGAGTTCTATTCAATTTTACGTTCTAAAGCATCCAAATCGGCCATTGTATTAAGAGAAGTGTAGCTGTTTATCGGCACAGAAAATGAAATCGACGTGTCGAGTTCGAATTCCGTCCGAATTCGTTGCGTTTACTTTCAACTAATATTCTTACGAAAGCTATGAATCGATCTCTTCTCCCTCAGCTATGGGTTAAATAAATGGGGAAACTAATCTAGAAAGGCAGCCCTGAAATGGAAACTGGCCCCATAGAAACCTTGAAACAGAAACCACAACAGCAACCTCTAGTGTGGTAAGGCAGTGGCCCTAGCGTTGTGAGGTTGTGTCCCTAACGTGGTGAGGCTGTGGCTCTAATTGCACTAAGGAGGAAGAAGGCAGTTAGTTTAGAAGGACAACTCTGAATTCGAAACTGGACCCATAAAATCTTTACAACAGGAATCACAACAGCAAGCCTTAGTGTCGTAAGGTTGTAGTACTAGAGCGGTGAAGCTGTGGCCCTAACATGGTGAGGTAGTGGCTCTGGCGTGGTGAGGTAGTGGCCCTAACGAGGTGATGTCGTGGCTGTAGTGTGGTAAGACAGTGGCGCGAGTGTGGTAAGGAAGTGACACTAGCATGCTGAGGTTCTGGCCCTAACGTGGAGAGGCTCTGTCCCTAGTATGATTAAGCTGTGGTCCTAGCATGTTGAGGCATTGGCCCTAGTGTGCTGAGGAAGTGGCCCAAGCGTACTGAGGCTCTGGCCCTAGCGTGGCGAAGCTGTGGTCCTAGCGTGGTGAGGTTGTGGCTCTAAATGCCACTGGAGAGTCTAGGATGGGGAAGGAGAGAGAAATGCTTAAACTCTGTTTGGACTGCCATATAATGTCTAATTTCTTACATAACAGTGAATGTTGGATAATTTCGTTCTAGAACGAAAAAAAGATTTGGATTGACAAACGGGATTATGGCCTCGACTAATATACGAAATACCATGGACATAGACACGAGGAAGATTGAAAGAACTAAAAGGGAAACTGTTGCTGACAACCAGAATAACACAGCTGATATTTTTGGAACGCATAATGTGGAAAGAAAGCTTGGCGAATTTAACACTTACATGGAAGGCAGGATGGAGAGGGGGGAATGCAGCGAGGAAACCTATTTGACAAGTTTGAGCAAATGGATGGAGTAAGTACGACAAAGTAAAATACATTGTCATGAAAGAGCAAGTGTTGCTGAAGATAACAAGACAGAGGAAGTTATGGAGGACCATGTCCGTAGAATTTAGGCTTCCCACAACCTGAGTATGGTTCTTATTCAGAGGATTCAGTTTAAAAATTATTTGAGAATTGCGTTTTGTAATCAGGAGTAAAACGTCTTTTAGTTTTTGGAATCATGCCGTGCGCAAGGCATAATGGTTGTCAGCATCGATAAAGGGAATTGGCGAGACGAGTTTAATTTCCGGCCGCGTCTGTTGCATTCACTTTCACACCATTTGCATTGGGAAAGGCATGAATCCATTTCTTTTCTCCAGAGTTTTTAACGTTTTACAACTGGGGTGGGGAGAGAAGAAACGTATTCATCCTTTAGTACGAATGGCCGGGTAGACTGAGTTCTTCAACCTTGGTTGGTAGCCAGTATAGGAGAAGAACAACTCATTCAAAACCATGGGGTACACAAAAGAAAACCACTCTTAGGCTTACGGCCATATCGCGTTGAAAAATTGGTTCCCGTACGATCACCAAATTTAAGCAATATCGAGCCTGGTCAGTACCTAGATGAGTAACCGTTTGGGAATACCAGGTGCTTCAACTAAATATTTTGAACGCATTTGCATGATTTGAACTGCAGATAAAATGTATTGCTGGTCATTTTATTATAAAAATTGTATTTTTGGTCATTTTACTTTAAAAATGTATTTTTGGTCATTTTACTATAAAAATGTATTTTTGGTCATTTTGCTATAAAAATGTATTGTTGGTCATTTTGCTATAAAAATGTATTGTTGGTCATTTTGCTATACAATGTATTTTTGGTCATTTTACTATAAAATGTATTGTTGGTCATTTTACTATAAATAGGTATTGTTGGTCATTTTGCTATAAAATGTATTGTTGGTCATTTTACTATAAAAATGTATTGTTGGTCATTTTACTATAAAAATGTATTGTTGGTCATTTTGCTATAAAAATGTATTGTTGGTCTTCTTGCTATAAAATGTATTGCTGGTCGTTTTACTATAAAAATGTATTGTTGGTCATTTTACTATAAAAATGTATTGTTGGTCATTTTACTATAAAAATGTATTGTTGGTCATTTTACTATAAAAATGTATTGTTGGTCATTTGCTATAAAAATGTATTGTTGGTCTTCTTGCTATAAAATGTATTGCTGGTCGTTTTACTATAAAAATGTATTGTTGGTCATTTTACTATAAAAATGTATTGTTGGTCATTTTACTATAAAAATGTATTGTTGGTCATTTTACTATAAAAATGTATTGTTGGTCATTTTGCTATAAAATGTATTGTTGGTCTTCTTACTATAAAAATCCTAAAAAAATCCTCGGTCACGATGACTTGTGATTTTATGCTATCACAACGATTGACAATTTCAAACAGTTTTCATCTAACCATCTCAATAACTCGGTCACGATGACTTGGGATTTTGTTTCAACACAAAGATTGACGACACTTGTACTGTCTCATCCCCCCCATCCTAATTTTGCTAACTTCGAAGTGTGGCTTTCAGGCAATTTCCAACTGTGACATACTCTGAGATCATAACCTGGGACTGATATTCACTATCATGATCACAAGTCCCGCATCCCATTCGAGTCTAAGCGGCAGAACATGTACTGCAACCATGTCAGTAGCGGTGTGTCTTGGGCAAGATTGCCTGACTGAACTCAAAGCTGGTTTGAATTCAGAGCCTTTCTTCTCCTGGATTGGCTGCCGGCCAAGGCTATGGGGCTCAACCTACCATGTTATTTACCCATAGCTGGGGAGAATAAATGCATACATGTATTTCTAAACGTATATGAATGCAATAAACTCGATTTGAATTCGAACTCGTAATATATTATCGAGAGATAAATTGGACGGTTGTGAAATTCGAACTCACAACTCATGGACGGACTCCCCCCTCAGCGATTTGCCCACGAGTAACGCATTATACTAATCAAAATGGCTGAATTCTTAAATTTATGTCAACAAATAGCGTTACTTATTAGATTGGCTAAAACCGTAGTTGATAGGGTAACTTGAGAAATTTGCATATTTACAGGTTAATGGCGTCGACTGACGAAGGGCAAACGGATTAGTGATACCTATTAGAAAAAGGTGTGTTTGTGCGTGAAAGGGGGAGAGAGAGGAAGAGAGAGAAGGAAAGAGAGAAATATATAGAGAGAGGCAGAAAGAGGAAGATAGAGAGAAAAAGAGAGAGTAAGAGATGAAGATAGACAGATAGAGAGAGGAAGAAAGAGACAGAGGGTGAGATAAAGAGAAAGAGAGAGATAGAGAAAGAGAAAAAGAGGGAGAGAAATAGAAAGAGATAGAGAGAAAGACAAAGCGATACAGAAATATACAGAGAGAAACAGAGAAAGGGAAATCGAAAGATATCTATATATATAGAGAGAGAGAGAAAGAGGGAGAGAGAGAGAGAAAGAGAGAGCTGAGAGGGAGGGAGAGAGAAAGAGAAAGAGAGAGAGAAATAGAGAGAGAGGAAGAGAGAGAGAGAGAGTCAGAGATAAAGATAGAGAGATAGAGAGAGGAAGAAAGAGACAGAGGGTGAGATAGAGAGAGAGAGAGAGAGAGAGAGAGAAAGAGAGAGCTGGGAGAGAAAGAAAGGTTACATAGATTTTTACTGTATAATTTGTAATCGTTATCTGACATGATGAAAGTCAGATTTTTTGCGCCAAAAAAGCAAAGTAACGCCCTTTTTTCTTTATCTATAGAACGCACACAGAGAGGTCACAACGTATAATGTGACGGCGATTACAGATTTGGCTGAAGTGAAGGAGACAAAGGAAGGAACTCCCGCCAAATAATAATAAAAAAAGACGAGGTGTTTCTTCCGCTTTACTGATAGGGCCATTTTGTGTTATAGATAGGCCTAGAAACTATCCTCACATTTTGTTGTGATAGTAAAAGCTCTTTTAACAAAATGATTGGCACAGCAAAATCTTCTTAACTCACCCCAAGTTCTCTATGTGCCAGATTAAGCCATGCCCACTAAACACCTACGTATTTGTTGGGCAGTGTCGAAGGTCCCCGACAAAATCCTACAGCCCTGGACCAATGCCATTTAGTTTCAAGAAATGACTGTTAAAAAAAATTGTGGTTCTTGATGGTCTATTGAGAAGTTTGCTTTCTTTGAATGTTGAAAGTATAAATCTGGGAAATTTCAAGAATTTACTCGTCCTGTTTATTTGCCTCCCTTGATTCTCTTTACTTGTCTCTCTCTCTATTTGTCTCTCTTGATTCTCTTTACTTCTCTCTCTCTATTTGTCTCTCTTGATTCTCTTTACTTCTCTCTGATCTCTCTTGATTTATTTGTCTCTCTCTATTTCTCTCTCTTGATTCTTGTCTCTCTTTATTTGTCTCTCTTCTCTCTCTATTTCTCTCTTGATTCTATTTGTCTCTCTTGATTCTCTCTTTACTTGTCTCTCTCTATTTGTCTCTCTTGATTCTCTTTACTTGTCTCTCTCTATTTGTCTCTCTTGATTCTCTTTCTCTTGTCTCTCTTGATTCTCTTTTTGTCTCTCTATTTGGTTCTCTTTACTTGTCTCTCTCTATTTGTCTCTCTTGATTCTCTTTACTTGTCTCTCTCTCTTGTCTCTCTTGATTTGTCTTGTCTCTCTGATTCTCTTTGATTCTCTTTCTTGTCTCTCTCTTTGTCTCTCTTGATTCTCTTTACTTGTCTCTCTCTCTATTTCTCTCTCTTGATTCTCTCTTGTCTTGTCTCTCTCTATTTGTCTCTCTTGATTCTCTTTACTTGTCTCTCTCTATTTGTCTCTCTTGATTCTCTTTACTTGTCTCTCTTGATTCTCTTTACTTGTCTCTCTCTATTTGTCTCTCTTGATTCTCTTTACTTGTCTCTCTCTATTTGTCTCTCTTGATTCTCTTTACTTGTCTCTCTCTATTTGTCTCTCTTGATTCTCTTGATTTCTTTACTTGTCTCTCTCTATTTGTCTCCTTGATTCTCTTGATTCTCTCTCTACTTGTCTCTCTCTATTTGTCTCTTGATTCTCTTTCTTGTCTCTTTATTTGTCTCTTGTCTCTCTCTCTCTATTTGTCTCTCTTGATTCTCTTTACTTCTCTCTCTCTATTTGTCTCTCTTGATTCTCTTACTTGTCTATCTCTGTCTCTTTGATTCTCTTTACTTGTCTCTCTCTATTTGTCTCTCTTGATTCTCTTTCTTGTCTCTCTCTCTATTTTCTGTCTTGATTCTCTTACTTGTCTCTCTCTCTTGATTCTCTTTCTTGTCTCTCTCTATTTGTCTCTCTTGATTCTCTTTACTTGTTCTCTCTATTTGTGATTCTCTTTCTCTCTCTTTGTCTTGATTCTCTTTTGATTCTCTCTTGATTCTTTTCTCTCTCTCTATTTTTGTGATTCTCTTTCTTGATTCTCTTTCTCTCTCTCTCTCTCTTGATTCTCTTTACTTGTCTCTCTCTATTTTCTCTCTTGATTCTCTTTACTTGTCTCTCTCTATTTGTCTCTTTGTCTCTCTTGATTCTCTTTATTTGTCTCTCTTGTCTCTCTCTATTTGTCTCTCTTGATTCTCTTTCTTGTCTCTCTCTCTATTTGTCTCTCTTGATTCTCTTCTCTTGATTCTCTTTCTTGTCTCTCTCTCTATTTGTCTCTCTTGATTCTCTTTACTTGTCTCTCTCTCTATTTCTCTCTCTTGATTCTCTTTACTTTTTCTCTTTTGTCTCTCTCTCTCTTATTTCTCTTTCTTGTCTCTTCTATTTGTCTCTCTTGATTCTCTTTACTTGTCTCTCTCTCTCTTGATTCTCTTTCTTGATTTTCTCTTTATTCTCTTGTCTCTCTCTCTATTTGTCTCTCTTGATTCTCTTTACTTGTCTCTCTCTATTTGTCTCTCTTGATTCTCTTTACTTGTCTCTCTCTCTATTTGTCTCTCTTGATTCTCTTTACTTGTCTCTCTCTCTATTTGTCTCTCTTGATTCTCTTTACTTGTCTCTCTCTCTATTTGTCTCTCTTGATTCTCTTTACTTGTCTCTCTCTCTATTTTCTCTCTTGATTCTCTTTGTCTCTTGATTCTCTTTACTTGTCTCTCTATTTGTCTCTCTTGATTCTCTTTACTTGTCTCTCTCTCTATTTGTCTCTCTTGATTCTCTTTACTTGTCTCTCTCTATTTGTCTCTCTTGATTCTCTTTACTTGTCTCTCTCTCTATTTGTCTCTCTTGATTCTCTTTACTTGTCTCTCTCTCTCTCTCTTGATTCTCTTTACTTGTCTCTCTCTATTTGTCTCTCTTGATTCTCTTTACTTGTCTCTCTCAATTTGTCTCTTTGATTCTCTCTTTTCTCTTGGTTCTCTTTATTTCTCTCTCTATTTGTCTCTCTTGATTCTCTTTTTGTCTCTCTCTCTATTTGTCTCTCTTGATTCTCTTTTTGTCTCTCTCTCTTTGTCTCTCTTGATTCTCTTTTCTCTATTTGTTTCTCTTGATTCTCTCTCTCTCTCTTTGTCTCTCTTGATTCTCTTGACTTGTCTCTCTCTCTATTTGTCTCTCTTGATTCTCTTTACTTGTCTCTCTCTATTTGTCTCTCTGATTCTCTCTCTTGTCTCT